GTATATATATATATATATATATATATATATGAAAACTTACAAATATATGGTGGGCCATTAGTAAGTTTACCTAATTAATGTAATCATAGTAAAAATATTAAGTGATGGTGTATATCAATATACAAACCCCAATTTTTTTCTTGTAAAATTAAAGCTACAATACCATCATGGTGTTCTAACATGGAAGTCTACTAACAGTTACCAACCTACAGTGCCAATGGTTACCACCAGGAAAGGTCATCGGGTGCAGATGAGGCCTCTTTTGAACCTCACCTGTAACCTGTATTTTCATGGTCATAAAAAATGAAAGCTAGTGGCATTATAATTTTATATTCATAACCTCATTTTTTGCTTGTGTATTTCTTCAATCTGACATGAAATAATAACAATTAATAATGCATGGTGTTAAAAAAAATCCTTACCCTAATTCTGGTGTGTTGTGACATAAATATAAATGATGTAAAATTATACCTCACCAACTCAATTCAATTCATGGCAAAACAGTCATTGTCATGAAATTTGTAAATATAAATAGCATCTTAACCAATATCACATCCCATATCACAGCTGACCTGAAGAGCCCTAATATTGGGCAAAAGGCCTTGTTAGCACTGGATATAGCAGATATAATGTTATACACTACTCGTTACTTTCACCAAGAAGTTGTTAATAATAACGTTTATTAGCGGACCATGTACTGGACTAATGTTATTGATTCATCACTTACTGAGGAAAGAAGCTTTTTGCTATATAAAGTTGCATTGATGTTTTTCTTTCATGTGATTAGGTTTTTAATCTTATTACCTCACCTCCATGGTTACTGTTTATAAATGTACTGACCCTACCTCTCCCTCCCAGTATCTCCCCCCCCACATCTCTCTGCAAAACCACCTCTCACAATGATAACCTTAGTCTCAGGATGAAAATATTATTATGTATCATTCTTATTTTTAGTAATAATAATATTTTATATAAACATTATTGAATAGTATTAAAATGTGATTAAAACAGATTTTTCTACATTTTTAAGTGTGTTTCTATCCCGTACATTTTCAAAAACCCATCTATTCCATATATCGAATGATAGGTGTTGTCATAAAAAGTAACTAACTTGGTATGAGAAGAATACAATTATACTAATCACTTTTTAAAAGTTAAAATCTTGCATTTTGGCACATTAACAAAGCTGTTATTTTAGAATTTTTGTGTTAGTAAAACAACCTATTAGCATCCTTTTTTGTTTAAAAATAATTTACTATTTATTATGTGGTATAAATTTGAAAAAATAAACTGTCTCATTTCAATTTTTAAAAACTCAGCTAAGACTGGATAAACTAGATGTACTTCCGCATGGTCTCCGAAAGCATTCTGTTTCAAGAGTAAAT